ACTTTGGATGATATTGAGTTAGAGACTTGGCTACTTTAAAACATGGTGCTCAGCCTAGCCTGTACATCAAACCCGAAATAAATTAAAAAAAACTTTTCTCTAAATATTGGAGCTATGGATTAAAAAGAGTTGGACCAATAACCACTGACCTAACGAACAGACCCCAAGATTATCTGCTGTTTAGTAAAAATGTATATAGCCAATAGCTATGAATTTAACAACCAAAAAAGCCCAATATTGATAGAAAAATATCACTATTATAGAAGTCTCTGGATATCGTATTTTATCTTCTGACTAGTATACGAAGATTTGTGATAAAATCAAAGCAGAATATAATAGTATCGGGTTGATTCAAAATTTGAAGTTTCAATCCGAGTGTTTACCAGGTTCATGGCAAATTTCTTCCAGTTTTCATCTGTTTTTCTCGTTTCTTTGAAAATACGGGTTTTCCCGGCCAATGGTCACCTCTAATAAAACAATATTATAGTCAGTAGAATTTCTAAATGGACATCATCAAAATAATAATAGCCAATGACCAATGGTGGACTTGTGTCAGGTAGTGAGCATACTCTGCCTCGATAGCCCGACACTGCCACAACTGAAAAGTCATATAAATTGGAGTAGGCGTGGTGGCTTAGTGAGTAAGGCGCTATTCGGTGAGTGCAAGGCCTAGGAAGGAAAGTGTCTAGTCGTTCGGACGGTATTAAAAACTGAGGTCAAGTGTACACGTTGGAAAGCAGGTAAAAGAAAAATTTTCATAACAAAACACAACACAAGGTAAATATGAATATAACTACTTCTCTTTTATTTTATAACTTGAAAACGTGACTAGTATGTGTTACGGAACCTTGTTATTAAATAATAAAGAAGTAGTTATATCCATATATACCTTGTATTGTGTTTTGTTATGAATACATAGACATAGGCGTAGGAGCTCAAAGTAATTCAGGGGGGCATAACAATACATAATACAAACAGTAATAATGAAACTAACTGCCATAATAGAGAAGTAGTTACATCCATATATACCTTGTATTGTGTTTTGTTATGAATAGTTAACCGTGCTTCTAGATTTTATTTAAAGAATTGAAAAGAAAACTTTACAGTTCGAATTCGAAATAAGAGTATGTCGTAGCGCTGCTGTCCGGGCATTATTTCCCTCATAGCACACTGTGTGGCGTATACCCGTCTTCATTAGCCCAGTCGGAGCATAAGGAGTGGGACGTTGAACACCATTTGATCGCATATAAATAGATCTAACAGAAAACGAGTAATTTCATTTCTCATACAGTAATGCTGTCTGTTATTTCAAACATTCTGCGTCATGGACAAATGTTGCAAAACATGTCGATAAACATCCATAAAAATATCATCTGTGTAATATCAATAAATCATATAAATTGTGTTAATATTTCAGCCCAGATCAAAAGGTCAGATTTTATTAGGTTGAACTGGACATGACTTACGTCAAACTGGACATTATAGCAAATCCCTTGGGCTTTTTTTATATAAAAAATAACAAATGAAAGGAAGGCTGTACAGGGGTTTGGAGGAGAGAAATGGGATTTAACGTCCACTGATCACAAAACAGATCATTTTGGGACTAACATGTTCAATTTTATTTCAATAATTCGCTTGTGCGTACGGGTCTATGGCTATCGGGGAAATCGGAGGACCGGGTGAAAACCCACGAGGTAGGACTGGCGAGCAAAGTCCTGTCACGTTCACGCGGGGAATCGAAACCACGCGGTTGAGAGTTACACTGCTACTGAGCAAGTATTGTTCTTGTATGAACAGAAAAAAAACATTCCTGAAAACGTCCACGGAATACGCCCTTTTCTATTAGGTGGGAATGTATGCTTTGGCCATTCACCGCTGGATCCAGAATTAGAATGAAATGAAATGAGGTGTGAAAATGGGGTGCAAAACCGTTTCACCTTGGGTCGTTTCATTAAAAAAAATTATAGGACTGTTTCGTCCCAAAATGAACAAAAAAGGGGAATATGAAACAGCCCTTGTGGAATCTTTCTGGATATAGGGGGGTTGGATGGCCGAATGGTTAGCACGCGCGCGCTGTATCATACGGTCAGTCATTGAGTCAACTGGAGGGGTTTCGATTCCCCGGTTGTATGTGACAACCTCGTGGGTTTTCTCCGGGTCCTTCGGTTTCCCCCCCACAACTATTATAGAAATAAAATTGAACCATATGTTAGTCCCAAAATGACCTAGTTTGTGTCCAGTGGACGTTAAACCCCATTTCTCTCTCTCTCTTTTGGGATATAACAACCCGCTCTCCTTTTCTACACTGATGGTTACACTATAAGTCAACAATTCGACGCATGAAAATGTGACACGAAATAATTCGTCCTCGCTCTATACATACCCTGTTTAAAAAGTATTCCACACATATGAAGAGCTCCGGGGAAGAACGCTCTAAGTCACTTTTTCAATGAACCCCAGTTAATGGCGCCATCTGGTAGCAAATTGTATAAGCTTTCTGTGGAACAATCAATTTCGGGTAAAAACGATCGGAGTCACATCGAACCAAGGCCCTTCTGAAATGGCCGTCCATCGTACCCTTTATTTGACCATAATTTGGCTGAAAAGTGGAAGTCTGTCGTTGTACTGGTAATTATGATTCGTATTAAACATCATTTTGAAGTTGTAATTAAACTCATTCGTTGTTCTGTTCACGTCAAGCATTCTCGTCCAAAAGTCTGTTTTGCCTTTTATGCGAAAAGACAAAGATGTGACTTAGATCAATCTTCTCCTGAACTCTTCACATGTATAATTATAATTAATGCGAACTGGTTTCATCAGCAAGTACAATATACACGCATTTTTTTCTTTTCTCGCTTCTTGGCGAATTTGACATTTTTAAATAAGATGATGTATTATAGATTATTGATGTCGACCTTTAGTATCTTTGCACGAGGATGTAGTATTTATATCTTTCATTATATACGTATTTAAAGTGGTACATCTAGTCTGTTGGGACCAAAAAGCATTCTATACTGCCTGACAATTATATACCTCTTCCATTCGTTTATGTATGGAGCGTCAATGAGTAAGACGATGGGCTGGCTAACCCCGTGTTGACAGACAGTTCATCGTGATTTTCCGGCGTGATTCCACCTTGTAAGGCGTGTAGGGCCAACGTATAAGTCGTTCGAAAAACACAGTTACCGTGTACTTATTGACTAGATAACAAACCTCATCTCTCAACCCGCCGTGTTTCGAGATAAGAGATGTTGCTATATAGTTTCACGTAGCAAATCCCAACGCAAATCACATCGGGCATCAGTAAGCAAAATTGACAATATTTTTCACCCAAACGACGATTGATTATTGTTATTTATGTCGGATAAAAACAACGCTCCATTAATTTAAACGCGAATATTTAAAGTTAGGCGATAATTGTGCCATTACATTGGCCTCTGTAAGTTTAATTAGTCATAATACATGTAGTATAAAATTATATTAAGTTAAAGATGTTACATGCATTAATAAAGAAACTGAGTTTGCCACTTGGAACTAAAGGCACCCAATCGTAGCTAAAAACAAGCACATCAGTATATCTCAACGTGTTTGGCTACGTTCTCGTGGCTACTTATTGACGTTCACGTAGAAGAACCCTCGACAGTAAAGAGTCCGGGAAAAAATTTCCCCCATAGCACACTGCATGGCGCATTACCGTCTTCATTAGCCGTGGCAAGAGTAGGGTTGCCTGTCCAACCTCGTGGGTTTTCTCCGGGTACTCCGGTTTCCTCACACTGCTAAAACTAAAAGACCCCTACGCGCAAGCGAATTATTGAAATAAAATTGAATCATGTGTTAGTCCCGAAATGACCTAGTTTGTGTCGCGTGGACGTTAAACCCCATTTCTCTCTCTCTCTCGTCTTCATTGGCCCAGACGATACAGAAGGGCGTTAAACACCACTTCATTTCATATCGACTGGGACCAGGAAGTTAAAGTATTTCGTATTGCCTAACAATACTTTATGTGGATTATACAAAAACTCAAAACATCAAAGGTATACATAATCTCCAGACTTGCATGCAATCCGATCAAAAGAATCTCATCAAAAGAATTCGGAGAAACTTGTTCAATTTATCATGTCTGTGTAAACACTGGATTGCAAAGGATTCGAAATCCTTCAAATGTCGATTAGAGATATTAATAGAAAAGGACCGGAATGGATTCTTATCACACGATATACTGAAACTAACATATAATTACTCTACTGTGATCACATGGTCATTCTGGGAGATAATTTATTCTACGCAGTTTCCGTCTACTGCTCCATCCGACCTACTGTTCGTATCTCTTCGCAAACCCTGGTAAGTGCGAACCGAGCGTGAGCAATCCAGAAGGGTTTTCAGGGCCCACGTCGAGACTTGGTCTGGTTAATACGAGTCAGCATGAACTAACCACAGTGCAACATCTGGGGTTATCTTACGTAGACTCACTGGCAAATGATATCAAGAGTGTCCGAAAGAGTAACCATATCATGTTTAATGCACGGAAATCCATTACAAACTTCATCTTTGAGCACAAAATTGACAAATGTGAGAGAAATAACATTGAGTTTAATGGCGACCTAACAGCTTCACCTAATCCATCCGACCTTAAACATGATAATCCATGCCCAGTTAAAATCTAGAATATAGCTTTCGAATAATTTAGTTAGTATCATTTACCGAATATTATTTCGATCACTAATTAATTAGCAAGAATCTGAAGGTCCGCTTATATCACGCATCCGCATCATCCCGGGTGGTACAGAATAATAGTAGAGCGCAAAAGCTCGTTTTGTTTAACCACAGGCATCAATATGGACATTGACGTCTAACAAAAATTAAATCATACTTTAAAATAGAATACTTTGAGTTTCATTATTTTCGACCTTCAATGATTGAGGAAAGGTTACAAGGACATACAAAATACATAAGGCAGACTTTCTACTTGTCAGTCAATATGTCATTGTATACCATTACCTACGTCCGTTTAATTCACAAATTGATGCGTATTGATGATCGCATTGGCCAGGTTTTTGAAGTGTCTCGGCCATATCAAAGATTTCATGTCAATTAAACATTATTTACATGTGACGGCTGTGCATCTACTTTCTATTGACATCTTGCAGCCTCCAGCTACGGCCGTATTGTTGATGGCGTTTGGTTGAATGTTCGTCTGTGGGATGTTTTTGTGTTTGGGGGTCCATCTTGTAAATTGGAGAACATTTGTCGGAACATGTGGCATCCTTCTATATATATTAAATAAAGGTCAGCTATACTTTTATTGTTCTTTTGTTGTGACATTCACGTGTTGAACATGTACACGTAAGTAGGGGCCGTGGTTGGCGTTTCTGTCAGTCAGTGTGCAGGTGCGACCCTCAGCTGTCCTCTGGTCACTTCAGCTGTCTCGCTACACTGCACAATTCAAGCTTTCTTCCCACGATGTTATATATTGAGAGATTGAAGTTCTCTAGCCCAGCTGTAGATAAAGGAGTAGATTATGACATAGTAGAGTTTATAGCACCTATATTATTCGTCGTATTGGCTTATAACACTTTAAACTTCGCTATCCATACAATCAACCCTCGAGTCAAACAAAGTTAGCTGTGGGGATCAATAAAACGACACAAATTACTCAGGTTACTCCCGCTGTTTCTTACCCACACTTTAATTTCTCATTAGCTATCGTCATCAACATCACAAATCTCTATCTTTTTATCAACTAACACTGTTGATTTTTTCCACAACAAAAGACCGACAAACTGGCATTTCGTGTTATAGAGAAAATATTTCAAACACAGCATATTATGTTTGACAGTTCTCTCAAAACACGGAGACATCTTATTGAATTTTAGTTATTAAATACTAATAGATGACTTGACTTTCAATGACATTGCGATTTTAGGATTACTTTTGATGACTCAGAAACACATAATATGACCAATTTCTTAGTGTTTCAAATTTTAACTGCAATGTAAGTCTATCCTTACATTTGAAAGAGATACTAGAATTTAATGTACAGTATTCTAAGCATCGATTAATCGATTTGATTTGTTAATGTTTGCTGTCATGTTAAAAAGTTCCGAAAGCAAACTGATTTGCAAATTGTTATTCGAAATGTCTTAAATCGATAATGGTTTAATGCGATAAGAAATAGATAAGTATAATAGATAATTTTGTGGAGTTGCTCCCCCTTGCATGTGGTAACCAATTATCCCAAAAAGTGCACGCAGTTCACAAACAATGTCACCTACAGCCTACCCAGTTTCTAGATAATATTATTGAACTTTAAATTTGTATCGTTTATGTTTTCCATTCATAAAGTTGTTTACAAATAAAATTAACTAACTTCTCCCAAATGTTCATGCCACGCCATGTTTCAAACGACCTTACTCCATTTCTTTTCTAGTAATGGATCGAATATTTATCCACCTCCAACAAGACGAAGAAATTGGCTTTCTAAATTAAGCTGAAGTCAGATGAGAACTGTTTAAAGTATTCATGAGACAAGTATTGACCGCCATGTCAGATTCACTTATTATTCATTAAATCGTCTTGTGGATGGTAGTCCATATGTTTAATACCGAATGTTTCAATACCAGAAAGATAAGCCGATTCCTCCCGATTAACACCTTGTGATATATACACAGTTGATATTTTACAATAATTGAGGATTATTTTTTTTTTCAAAATGACGACTCATTGTGTGTTTGAAACAAACACGTGTTAAATCGGCATTATATCTTTTAATAGAGCTATATAACATCTGCCAAATAAGAACATAAGTCATGAAAACAAATAATTCGGTTCCCAGGGATGATGGGAGGCGGCAAACAATGGCCTAAAATCATTATTGATAACAATAATAATACCAAAAAAAGAGGAACTATGACAAATGGTTTTGTATAATTTATAATGTTAATCGTTGTCCTGCCATATGTCAGGGAGAAAGGAAGCAGGAAGCAACCCTTGAGTCAGCTTATTAACAAAATGGCCCAACAGGAAACGTCTGATTGGTGATCATTTCAGTTTGGGTATTTACGATACTTAATTTGAGATCGACCTTAACCTCTCGAAATTTTAAAGAGGTTTGGGTCATTTTACGTAATTATTTCCTTATTAGTGATATAAGGCCTTATACGGGCAATACGATTTCTCGAATTACGGATCTTTACCATGTATGACTAATTAGCTATATAAATGGCTAATTTAGATAGGGCGAAGATTGTTGGGCGACATAAGCAGACGTAATGAATACATTTAATACAAATTCGTCAAATTCCATGGGTGCTAAATGTAATGTAAGGACAATTCATTAACTATCCTTACAACCAATATTTTTTTCTAACCTCGCTACAAGACGTTTCAGTTATAAGCCCGGTTGGTGCAGAAAAGTAGGACGTTAAACCCCATTTGAGTCATTGTTACCAACTAAATACTGTTTTGTATTAATGGCGATCCAATGCAGTGTTTGATTCGGATAGTTTTGGTCAATTCTGCAGACTATCAAACCAAACATACGTATGTTAGTCTCGAAATAACCCCTCAAAAGTGTGGACGACGTATTAAATGTTGACCCCGTCAAACGACAATTTTAACACAGATACCGAACGTTGATTCGTAGTTTTTGCCTTTCTGCTCCAGTTCATCAGTCTTGATCAAGTTTTACCTATATACTGCTGCTAATGTTTGTTAATCGCTATGGCTTTAAACCTATAGTCTATTGACGAGATAAAAGCTGATCTAGTCATGTTTTATGACTAGCTAATGGATTACTATATCTCCAAGCTAATTACATGGTCGCTGATTAATGGAACACGTGCAAAACTCTTTTTTGAAAAACCTAATTAACTTCCTTGTTGACTTGGTTATTTACATTATGTGACCAGGTGTCCATCAAAACCCATGGCAGACAATCTTATTAATAATTTTAACTCCGTCAATGTTATTATAGGTGCGCTGTAGAATGAACTTCCCCACGGCTTCGTTGTTATGTCCTTATATTTCAATATATTATCCCAAATAATTTAGTAGCGAACAAAGCATCAAACTACATGTAGATGGACTGATCATGATCGGCAACCTTCGACCCCCTACAGCAATTACCCATGGCCGTTGTTATCTTTGACTTTAACATATAGAAACTGACCTTCATCCATTTTGGCTGAACCTAAAGATGTCAATTTTGAAATCATGTGGCTGTAGCCAATTCTTGTATTGATACTGACAAGGACACTACTATGTATGTAGATTTCAATCAGAGACAACAATTTCGGCCATGACAACAAGTAAATAAAGTTAAGAAAGACGTTTATGTAAAATTTTCATATCTTTTTAATTTATATCTCACCATTTTATGGTTTTATGTCTTCAACAAATAATAACTTTAACAAATATATTTTACAAAAAGATTACAAATATACAAACGATACAATATAACATTGACACGTAGTAACAAAATGAATTTTCTTTAAAGTGAAATGACATGAAGCCATTCATTCAACCACTAAATATAATCTATTTCCATATACTCTAATTATAATAATATCTCTCACTCTTCACACAAGTTTCACTTATACCATAGAGTCTACACTCACACAAATGAGTCACAAATGAAACCTAAGTCCAAATATGAATGTTTTTTGGAATAAATCGGTGATTTGTACACAATTGAGTTAAGTAATCCAACACGAATATTTGTTAGTTACTGTAACAAAACTCGAACATTGAGCATGTAATGTCGGAGACGTTGTCGGAGGCGCAACAGCCGGGACAGGTAGTTAGGTAAAGTTCAATTGCATCAATTGTTCACTTGGTTCATGTTACGTTGACGTTCCTTCACAAGCGTCACCCGACCTCCTTGTCGACTAGTGTGTTTTTAAACATTGAAAACTGTACATATAAGCAGTTTCTGAAAAATACAAATAATAAAAAACATGAATACATTTTCATAACTATATAAATACTCTTTATAATATGAAGGGGATTTATTTTGTAACTGTATCTTTCATTTACTCTGATAAAGTGAACTGTTTACGAAACCCGACGTGCACCTGTGCTGACTGTATAACACCGCTCCCATACCATGGAGGCGCCAGTCTGTCGCCGATATGGTCTGCCAACAATTTGAGGTATTCTAATTTGTCCAGCTGCAAGCTAATAGCTTCAAGCTAAAATTCACACAACTTCTAAATGAAATATTGAAAAATACTAACCTGTTTTTGTTCGTTAGCACATATATTTTTGAAGTAATTTCTTTTACTTTGATGGTGGTCTTAATTCTGCTTCTTCCATTTCAATATCACGTACACAGTTGAAATTCTGAAAGACAAAAAATGGAGAACATTTAGTAAATAGTTATTATTAACCTTGGTTGTTTACGAACATAGATGACATTTTTAGAAACTGATGCGAGATTGCCCTGGGCTGTACAAGAAATCAAAAATAGCTATGTTTATTAATCTTTTGAAGATAACTATGAAAATAAAACCAGAAGCTGGGTATCCTACATAAGAATAAGAGATACATTATCCAAGAAAAATCGCTGTGAATGTTACTATTCTACAGTACTGAAAGCTGGTTGTAGGCAAACATAAAATCAATACATGAATGAAACCTACCTCTTTGAGAAGGGAGTTCGACGCAGGTTTCTCCGATAATGGCGTCCGGCTTATGGCACTGATCTGAGGGAAACCAGATTTTGTTGGGTGAAATTCTAGTGCCAATTCCAAATCCAGAATGTAATCAATCACATGTTGTAAAAGGTCCTTTTTAGATATTTTCTGTCCATGATTCACTGTGGGCACTAAATCCTTCAATTTGTGAAAGCAAGCCGTCATTTCGGCTCCATCGTCGAATTTTCCTTTGGTTATTTTTAATTCCTTGATACCGAAGTCGGTGGATGGGACACGGGTTTCAACAACAGCCTTCATTTTCGGTTGAGTGATGTAGGTAAGTAAATCCAAGTGACTTGAGTAAAACTAGTAGATTGCGATAGATGAGCTCGGTTCGACTGAGAAGGTGGATATGACTTCAATAATTGCTCACTGGCCTTATATACGAATCTGACTGTGTGCACAAGCATTCACACGTAACAATATCCAGAATAGGCCCCGCCTACTCATTACATATTGCGAGAGACACAGTTCAATCGATATGTCAAAGCCGGGACGTCTTAGCCAATCAGCAAGTTTGTTGTTATTAGTTTGGGTCTTTAGTCCCGCCCTTAAAGACTATCAGTTAATCTCTCACAACCACAAAATAAACAC